GGTACGGAGTGGCAAGTCACGAAACCGGCGTGTTGACGAGTGCGGCGGCCTACCCCCGGCGTCGCCGGCCGCATATCAGGCAGTGTGGGGACGAATCCCCGCAACGGGACGTCGTCTCTCTGGCGTGTGTAACGGGGCGGCGGACGTGTGTGATGTCCGCAAGGCTACTACGGCGATATCCCAGCTACGCCGTCAAAGGGAACCTTGATCGCGACCCTCTCTCGGGTGATCTTGTGGATCCCCAGCTTGACTTTGGAGAAGTGGCCGGTGCCGAGCGTCTCGCCGACCTCGTACTCGTCGTGGATGTCGTTGGGCACGTCAGCCACGCTCGCTCGTCCGGCCATTGTCGAGCCGATCTGCGAGGTGCTCACGAGCGCACGTCTGCTCAGGCGGCGTCCAGCGCGCTCGGGGTTCGGACGGCTCTTCGGCCCAAATTTAAAATTACTCGGCCGCGGGCACGACACGCGTGGATTTTCTTTGGCATATCAGAGGCATCACACTCAGAGAACGCGGCGAGTAACAATTCACTCGTTGTGGCGTTGGTTTTCAAAAATCTCTCTCTCACAACAACATCTCTCTCGATCTGTAGCGGGTTGGCGGTTGCGAGAGAGATTTTTCGGGTTGCGAGAGTTCAACAACAAAACACGCTCGAGAGAGAGAGAGAGGGGGAGGGAGAGCACTTGGAGAGAGTCGATCAGTTGTCTTGCGGAACCTCGTTTGCGTTTTTCTCTATTTCGCTGATCCCTTTTAGCGGAGTGCTCCGCGCTCTACTCTTCGCGATGGTGGGCAGGCCTTCTCACAGGCCTTGCCCTACCTATGGCAGCTTCGAGCAGGGCGAGCTGGAGAGGCTCCGCGCCGCCGCTGACGAGATAATGTGACGCAGCTGTTCGTTCCTCCCGCGGTCCCGGCACCCCCACCCGGGCGCGCGCAGCTGCCATGGGGATGCCATGGCAGCTGCCAGCTCAGCCGGTATCTTCTACTCACGAACCCCAACCCGCTACACCGGCGTTGTAGCTTGTACGCGGGTGTGTACACCTGGCTCTGTACGCGTGTGTACGGTACTCGAGCTACTAGTTACGGTAGTTACTATGTTTCTACCAAAAAAATACTCAACCACACTCGCCCCACGGCCTTCGCTGCCCCGGTACTCCACGCACCCAGATGCCACCTGGCCGGCCGCGCTCCCAGCAGCCCCAAGTGCGGCCCGTCCGCGGGTCGACGCCTTGGCTGCGCATGCGCTCGTCCGCCTCTTGCCGCCGCCGCGCCGCCTCCTCCGGATCGGCGCCCGGCCCGCCGGTACTCGGGCGCGCGGTGGCAACCGTGCGCCAGAACCAGCGCGGTGGCGGCGGCGCTACGGGAGTTGCGGCGGCAGGTGCGGAGGCAGCGCCATCGCCAACAGCGGACGAGGAGGCCGCACTCCCAAAGTGCCGAGCGAGGTACGCCACGAACGCTCCATTCTCCAGCGTTGGCCAGCCGCTGGCGGCGCCGCGCTTGGCGGCAACGAGCGCGTCCTTTGCCTGCTGCCAGCCCACCAGGCCGTACTTTTGGAGGTAGTAGCACAACGCGAGGCTCGAGCGGTTGACGCCAGCGTGGCAGACAAAGACCACGCGTGCCGCGTCGGCCGCCCACGTGTAAGCGCACAGCCTGTCGAGGCGCCTCGTCATCGCGACGTCGTCAAAGTCGGCGCGGTCGTCGAATGCCGCACCAATATGTACCACGCCTCCCGGCAGACACGAAGGCCGCTCGCTCGTGTGCAGTGTCACCACAACAGTATGTGCAGGCCACAGCATCGCAGCGAGCGCGTCATGGGATGTGAGCGCAATCGACTGCGATGCGTGCACGTCTTTCAGCTCCGCGACCGCGGTGTCTGCGCCGTCGAGCGCACCACTGGCTGCATCCGCCGCAGCTCGCCTCGGTCGCTTATTCTTATTTACATCGGCGACAGCCTCCTTCTTCCTTGGCGCCGGCGGTCCGGTGCTCACGCGCGCAGTGACCGTCGGCCCGCGGTGCGTAGGGCGATACGCGAGCGCCGGCCCGAGGTCTTTGAGCTCGCGCTTGGACATCGTCGCGTCCCTTTTGGCACGGATTTCTTCTTTTTCTTTATTATTATTAGAGTTAGGCCCCGAACCGGCGTCCGACCCAAGGATTTTTTTCCTCTAGCTAGGTGCAGTGCATGCATGTATGCAAGCCGATTCATCACGTCGGCCACCGCCCCCGCGTTCGTGCGACACCTTTGTCTACGTGGCGGGCGGTGGCGGGCCGGCGGCGACGGTCTTTGGAAAGAATGCAGATCGGCCGTCTGATGAAGCGCACGAGGTGATGCATTGCCCGGCAGCAAGTCATGCGCCGGGATCGATGCTGCGCTGCACGCACATCGAGATCCCTCAGGTGGAGCGCACGCACGCAGTCGTGCTCTCCAAGCCTGCCTGGATGTGGGGGCTAGATCTTTGGTGAGCCGAGGTGCGTTGGGTGCGACCCACCCCGTCACCTCCGGTCTTGCATGTACCAGGTGCGAGATCGGTGCCAACGCGTGTGGCGTGGTCGGCGGGAATGAGGCCGTCTCCTCGCTCCTCGCACACGAGCTCGGGGAAGAGCCGAGGCCTTCTGGGAGGGCTCCGCAGCTGGACGCAAGGCATCTCTCGGACCCGTGACGCAGCCTCCACTGCAGGCTTCTCGGGATGGACCTGCTGCGGCTGGCGCTGGAGCGAGGCGCGACGGCGAGAGCGGCGGTCGGACACCTCACCTCGCTGCTGGAGGAGCACGGCCAGGCGCCGCTTCCATAAAGCAGCCTCCCCGCCGCCCACAGCCACTGACACACCCGCGGGCTGATGGTTGCCAGAGCCGTATGGCCGCTCACCGCTGCCTCTGCTGCACCACCGCCCTGCCAGGGCGGCGCGTGCGAGGAGGGCGGCGACTGGACGTACGAGAACGGCTTCCTGCTGGCAGACGCGCGGCAGAGGGCTCTGGTGATGGGAGGCGAGCTCCTAATCGAAGCTTCCGTGAATCTTCCCACAGGCGGACGCAGGCGAGGCCTTTGTCGTGGAGACGGCGGGGACGCGCCACTGGGCGGTGGAGAGGGTTCCTCCGGGTACGGGCCGCAACATCTCGAACGGCCTCTCGATCCGGACCGGCACCGCGTCTCCCCCGCGCTGCTGCAGCGCCGCAGCACTTGTAGCAGCCCTTTTGCTGACCGCTGCAGGCGTCGAGTCCTGCTCCGCCGGGCTCAAGGAGCTATGCGTCGCAAAGGCGCGGGCCTCGCCGCTGCCTCTCCTCACTGCTGCACTTCACGCAGCTCCACTAGCTCGCCGCCTCCCTTGCCCGCCCAGGGGTGGTGGGACGGCGAGGGCCCCTTCGACTGGAAGCGGAGCGTCGGCGAGGGTCGGGCGGGCGGGGCGCGAGGCTCGCTCTCTCTCTCGGCCAGCCCTTTTCTGCCTCTCCCTCTAGGCGCGGGCGGGAGGGCGCACGCGAAGCTCGACGTGCGCGGGCGCGAGCGGGCGGGCGCCGACCACCTCGCCGCCGCCGCGGGCCGCGTGTCGGACGGCTCGCTCCCTGCAGGAGACGTGGCGGGCTGGCTGGGCTGGATGGCGGGCGTGTTGCGCGACGAGGAGAGCGGTGCGGCGCGGCGGGGCGCTTCTGGGGACGGGTCAAGTACCCACTGCCCTCACCACGCCCCGACTCCAACGCCCTGTCAGGCATCTGCTTCCGGTCTACTCACGGCTTCATGTCGACGGGCTCGCAGATCTCGTGGCGCCCGCCCCGGGACAGGCTCGGGCTCTCCGATGCCACCGCCCGGCGGGGCTGCAGCGAGTTGCCTTGCCTGTAGGCTAGCACGCGGCGGAGGCCACACGGCCTCGCACTTCTTCACCGCCGCCTCGGACCCGCTCGTCGCGTGCTACAAGCGGTGGACGTTCGGCGACCCAGCCGCGGCGGCGGCGGGAGACGGGGGCAGCCTCGCTCTGTGGAGGCGGTGGCGCTCGATCGACCTCGCCGGCCGCTCTGTCCCAGAGGCGATGCGGCGGGCGCTGCTGGAGATCGAGGCGGAGGCCGTGAGCGCCGCAGAGCGAGGCGGCGCGAGCGAGTTTAGTGGGAGCGTCGCGCGCGAGCTGGAGCTGATCAGCTCGTTTGCGGTGTGACGTCGCGCGCGCGCGGGCTCAAGTGGTGGCAGTGTGGACCGTCGCCGTGTGAGGTGCGACGCTGGGGAATGCACGTGTCGCGAGAAAATGCAAAATGGGGGTGCGGCCGTCCCGCCATGCGTCCCGCGTGTCCGCCGCCGACACTAGGGACCCTTCGGTACTAGGGAGCGAGACTAGCGCGCTGCGGCGCGCGGCGAACTGCGCGGCGCGCGGTTTTGGTATCTCCCGTCGATCGATGTTCGCGCCGTCAAAACGCGCTTCACAATCTTTCCCGGGCGCGTGCCGCGGCGGCAAGCTGCATCAGATCACATGCCCAGGTGCCCTCTTACGACGCGCCATCATCCGCAGCGTGCGCCGTGCGGCCTGCGGCCGCGCCCGGCGCGCTGCGCGCACACACACGCCCCGCAGCTGCCCGCCCACGGCCCACGCTGCCCGCCCGCCCTGCTTGCTCATGGTAACCACATCTGTACTAACCTGCCACACACGCGTATACGTACTCGGCCCCCACATTCGACAGTTCCCGGTCCTCCCCTCTGCGCGCCTCTGCTGCACAAGCGCACCACGTCACGCGCGCAACCGACGCAGCTCAGCGCTATAGCATCGTGATCGCAGGTGCTGATTGCGATGAAACGATTGGCGGCGCGCAAGTGCGCGGCGGGAAGAGAGGGCGCGTGCAGAGAGGGCACGCGGCGTCCAGCCCTTTGCACCGCGCCCACTGCTCAATGCACTCCGAGTGGTACTCGTGGCCGCACTTCAGTCTACGAACCTTATCGTCCGCCTCGTAGCGGCCCAGACAGATGCTGCACTCGTCAGCGGCGGAACAGCGCTCGTCGCCATAGCAGCGCTCATCGAGCTGCTTGATCGCGTCGCTCAGTTTTGCCTCGTCCTCCCTCTCCTGCCCCAACCGCTGCTCGTCTGATTGCCGCACGAGGAACGAGATTATCACCCCAACCGCCATCTCGAAGAGCGCGAAGCTCGCCACCACACAGATAGTGCCCGGGTCCGGCATCTGGGCTGCTTCCGCTCCTCTGAGAGCACCGCCTCCGCCTTCTCTACTTGGTGGGAGAGGCACACGCAACGCGTTCCTGCCAAGGGACGTCGACGCGCGCACTTTGATCGAAGATTTCACGGACTTTCTTTGGGGCGGAAGGTGACACATCGGCAAGGAGTTTTAGGTAAATTGTTGGCCGCCCGCGCCACCCCTCCTTGCGGACCGCCTCGGAGACCCGCCGGCTGGGTGCGCGTAGGTGGCGAATAGCTGACGAACGCACCACGAGCTGCGGTGGCTCGGAGAGGAGCCGCATCCGGGCGGAGGGGCGGCGGCGTCGTCGTCATCGTCGTCGTCATCGGCGGCGGCGGCGGCAGCGGCGGAGGCCGCGGCAGCGGCGGCGGGGTCGTCGTCGCCGTCGTCGGCGGCGGCCGTGGCAGCGGCGGCGGCGGCGGCGGGGGCGGCGGGGGCGGCGGGGGCGGCGGCAGAGGAGGTGGACGCCGAGGTGGCGTCGGGCGCCCGCGCGCGTATGGCTGCAGTGGTGGCCGCGGCGTCTCGACGTGCGAGGCAGCTAGTGCTTGTGGGCTCTTGAGGGTCGCTCCTCGTGTCAGTCCTCGAGGCTCGGAGTTGTAGATGCTACGCCCGCGAATGGGATGGGCTCGACCCTTGCCCGCACGGCCGCGACTGCGAGCCATGCAGCCAGCTGCCACGAAGACTCCGACGAGGAGCAGCCCAATAGCCACTCCAATCGCCGCAACTACCGTCCCGCGGGCGTTGTCGGAGCCGGGCGATGCAGCCAGTACTCCGGTCCCTGGCGGTGGCGAGGGCGAGGCGGAGGGCGGCGGTGGCAAGGGCGGCGGCGGGGAGGGCTGCGGCGTGCTTGGCGGCGCCGACGATGGCGGCGAGGGACCAGGGGCCCCCGCTCCACCTCCTCCGCACGCGCAGCACGCCAGGCTCGCGGCGATCCCGCCTCCCCTGAAGTCGGAGCCGCAGTCGAACGGCACGTCTCCAAGTGTGACTTGACCGAGATACTCACAGTCGACGCCACTACCGTCGCTGAAGCGCCAGCCGTCGAGTCTCCAGCCGGGCGTGTCGGCGCAGGTGCCGCACCGCGCATCGTCGCTGTCCCAGCGGCACGGGTTGCGCTCCCTCTCCGCGAGAGCAGCGCACGCGATCCGCTCCAACACATTTTCGCAGACCGCGGGTGCGACGTAGCCCGGGCAGGTCGTCTGCAGCCCGCAGCTGTACCTGGAGTTGATCTGGCCAATGTCCTTTTGCGACAGGACTTGAGTGCTCCCAAATGTGTCCCCGGAATTTGCAGCCTTTGAGCTGCCGCGGCCGTCCGAGACAACCTGGTTGTTGTTGCGGACGACCATCGTGGGCACGCCTCGTTCTCTGGCAAAGGTGGAGCTCGAGTACAGCATAATCGAAAACCAGTCCCAGCTGCTGTCTGGGTCGCCCTGGATGTTGTACCAGTCGCTCGCATCCAGTCGTTCGAAGTTGCCGCGAGCGCCGACCTGCGCGTTCTGAAGCCGCACCTCGATGTGCTCGTCGCGGTCGGGGCGAGAGTGCTCGTGTAAAAAACCGAGGGAGTGTAAGAACTCGTGGACGACGACGCCCTCGAAGGCTGGACAGCCGGAGCTCAGCGTCATCGTCGCAGACGTGTAGGCTCCGACGGTCGCAGACCCTGAGCAGGAGTTCGTTGACCCCTGCGACCCCGAGCCGTAGATTGCGAGCCGCGGCTCGTTGCTGCCGACAAAGGTGGGCTGCGTCTCGTCCGTCTCGTCCGGATCGACCTCGACGAAGCAGATGCACGTGCTCTCCTCGATCCTCGCGATGGCCGCCTCGACGACGCCACGGAAGAGCGAGCCGGGAGCCCACCCGCGGCTCCCGCTCTGCTTCGCAAAGTGCCAACGGATCAGCTGGTCCGGCCACTGCCTGGCGCGCTCGGTGATGCCGAGCCTCCTGGAGCCGCCGTCCTCATGAGAGTGGGCATGGCCATGGCTGTCGGCGACGGCGTCGGCTGCGCCTTCCTCATGGGAGTGGGCATGGCCGCGGCTGTCGGCGACGGCAATAGCCGCGGCTGTAGCGTTGGGGCACTTAGCGGAGCACGGCGGCTCGCTGACGGGACCCGAGCGATTGTTGAACCAACCGCCATTCTGCCTCCACACGCACACACTCGCGCAGCTGCTGCTCCCGCATGCTGATCGCATTGGCGCTGCAACGGCACAGATGAAGATCTCGGTGCACCCAGGCGCATCGTGAACGGCCCGCTCGCAGGTGGTGACGCCGGACGCACGGTCGGTGACGCACTGGTCGAGAGTCGCTGCGACGCCTGTTATGCACAAGCAGAGGATTGACATGATTCCGGCCGTGTCTTCGAAGCACTTTTTTCCGCCTCGTTCGCCGGCCTCAGCGGCATTTGTTTTTTATGACGGGGGTTCGATGACACGGCAGGAAGAAAAGAAGATTCAACGCTGATTGAACCCTGTCCCCCTGATCGTCCTTCCAAAACCCTGCTCGTGGCGGCGTGCAGGTGGGGACCCTGTCCTCCTCCCCTATAGCCTATTCCCTCGTTTGGGTTGTCTGTTTTATTTCATCTGTCTTTCTTTCTGAACCCTGCTATGCCGGCCCCGCGCGGCGGCGGGCGCGGTGCGGCTCGCAGTGTCCGGCTCTCTCCCCCGGCGCGGCGAGCACCGCGGTCCGCGCGCGGAGTTCGCCCCACAAGCCCCCCCCCCCCCCCCGGACCTCCCCGGCTCCAGTGAACAGCGACAACACCAAACACACATATCAGCGGTGCATGATGACCCTGCGGGAAGCGTGTCCTCGACGGAAGCTCCCAAGCTCCACCCAGAGAGTCCCCAGGGTGGTGGCCACGCGCTTCTTCTGAGCAGCTCGCGCTATGAGCGCTGGGCCGCCTCCGCTGCCATCCTGGCGGCGGTCGCCCTGGCCCTCGCAGCGACTGCAGCAGCACGCCTCGCCTCCGTCGCGGCCGCCGCCTCCTCTCGCGCCGCCTCGCGCCCCTCACGCGCCGCCTTGGCCTCCTCCAGCGCCGCCGTGGCCTTCTCCAGCGCCGCCTCAGCCGCCTCCTCCGCCGCCCTGGACTCCGCCTGTGCAGCCTCGGCATCCGCCTCCGCCGCCTCAGCCACCGCCTCGGCCTCCTCCTCCGCCTCCGCCTCCTCCTCCGCCGCCTCCGCCTCAGCGTCCAAGCGTGCCGCCTTTGCCACCTCGGCCGACGCCGCCGCCTGGCTCTCCGCCGTGATGCCGAACCGGATCCTCTCCTCGGTGAGCGTCTCGAGAAGCTGGAGAAGCCTCGCCTCCTCGGCCTTCTTCGCCGCCTCGGCTGCGTCTGCCTCCGACGGCGCCTCGGTACCCTCCTCAGATTCCTGCGACGGCCCCGCCGCGCCCGCCCCGCCGCCCTTCTTCTTCTTCTTCTTGCCCTTCTTGCCCTTGGCGCGCTTCTCCGCCTCGACCTCCGCCAGCAGCTCCTCGGCGTGCCGCGCCGCCTCCTTCTCCTCCGCCGCCCTCTGCGCCGCCCTCTCCGCCGCTCCCGCGGCCCACGCCGCCTCCGCCGCCGCCTTCTCCGCCGCCTTCTCGGCCGCCACATGCTCCTCGAGGGCGCGCACGCACTCGGTGTGGCCCTGCTCCTTGGCAAGCTGCATCGCGGTGTTGCCATCTGCACTGCACAGCGTCACGTCTGCGCCCGCCCGCAGCAAGTAGAGAAGGGCGGCGGGGTGGCCGCGGTAAGCGGCACAAATCAGTGCAGTGTCGCCGGCGTTGGACTGAAGGTTGATCTCTGCGCCGTGCCTGATCAGCGTGTCGACCACTTTCTCCTGGCCTCTGCCGGCGGCGGTCATCAGCGCGGTGCCGCAGAGAGGAGCTTGCTGGTTGATCTCCGCGCCGTGCCGCAACGCCATCTCGACCAGCTTCTCGAAGCCATTCGCGGCGGCGAGACTCAGCGCGGTGCCGCCTTTGCTGGTCTGCAACGAGACATCCGCGCCGCGCTGGAGCAGCGCCTCGGCCAGCCCCTCGTGGCCATGGGCCATTGCGACCACCAGCAGCGTCACGCCGCTCACAGGGCCGTTCGAATAGAGGTACTCGAACGCCGCGTCGACCCGCCCGCCGCCGTCGACCCACGCCAGCACTGCCGCCTCCTCATCGCCTCGCTCAGCCGCGTCCACAACCTCCTCTGGCACCGCACCGCCGCTGCTCGGCTCGGCCTCCTTGCCACCCTCGCCGCTCGAAGCAGAGGCCGCGGCACTCGCACCCACCGCCGCGCCTGCGCCGCCTGCCTCGGCCGACGGCGCCTTGCTCCGGCGCGCAGCCACCTCCCCGAGGTACGTCTTGAAGGCCTGGACGCACTCGGCGTGGCCCTCCTCCTTGGCCAACTGCAGCGCCGTCCTGCCTTGTGCGCGCAACGTCATGTCTGCGCCCGCCCGCAGAAGGCGGAGCACGACGGCGGGGCGGCCGTAGAAAGTGGCGAGAACCAGTGCGGTGCAACCGTTCTTGTCTTGCCGGTCGATCTCTGCGCCACGCCGCAGCAGCAGGTCGACCACCCGCTCTTTGCCGCCTTTGGCAGCCGTTGCCAGCGCCGACCACGCGGCGGAGTCCTGTGGGTTCAACTCCGCTCCGTGCTGCAGCAGCAAGTCCACCATTCGCTCGCGGCCGTTGTGGGCGGCAAAGTTCAGCGCAGTGGTGCCGCGACTGGTTTGCAGGTTGATGTGTGCGCCACGCTTCACGAGGAGCTCGACAATCTGCGTGTGCCCGTGCTGTGCGGCGAGTATCAGCAGGGTGCATGGAACCGTGCGGCCGCTGACCTGAGAGGGTTGCTCAGCGAGAGTGTCGGCCTTCCCGCCGACATTCAGCCACGATCGCACTGGTCCCACGCGGCCGTCCGTAGCCGCCTTGAGGACGTTCTTTGGGACTTCACCACCCGGCGCGCTGTCAGCAGACGGCGGCGGCGGCGTGCGGAGCGCGGCGTTGGCGCGGGAGGGCGAGGCGGGCATTGTGTGCGGCGCCAGGTCGATTTCTTTTCTGGGGGAGCTTGGCGAGGCTCCAACAACCAGAGTGAAACTGCGCGCCTTTCCCCGGGGACCAGTGTTGTGCGAGTTGTGAAAGATTACACATGGTACGATTCGCTAGTTGCCAAGCCCAGACACAGAGTCAGTGAGAGACACGGTGAGAGAGGCAGCCCCCCCCGAGACGGCGTCCCCGCTACAGCTTCAGTTCGCTTAACAATAGCGAACACACATCCATGAAGGGCAGCACGTCTCCGTCCACCTGCGGCGAGGGCGGGGGCGGCGAAGGGGGTGGCGGCGAGAGGGAGGCGGCGGCGAGGGCGGGGGCGGCAAAGGGGGCGGGGGGGCGAGGGCAGTGGCGGGTAAGGAGGTGGCGAGTAAGGGGGTGGCGGGTGTGGAGGTTGCGGCGAGGACCTTCCGGATGTCCAATAGGTACGAGTCCTCCTGGATCTTGTACAGCTGCAGGCCGACCTTGACCTTGAAGCGCGTCATCGGCTCCTGCCCCATCCCCTCGCTCGCGGTGCGCGCGGTGCACGGGCGGCACTTGAGCGAGTACTGCGCCACGATCTTCCACTCGAACTGCAGCACGCGCAGCGCGCGGAAGATCTCGAGCATCATGTCGGCCGGCGACATCGAGCTCTGCACGCCCAAGTGCCACCGCCGCTGCACCGCCTCGGGCGCGCCGCGCTGCACGCTCGATGCGGCGAGCATCGCTGCGCTCTCGGCGAGCTGCTGCGGCTGGATCAGCCATACGCCGAA